GAGGAGGGAGATTGAGAGAGACCACAGCCAACTGGACACACAGTAAGACAATCATGTGAAGACACTGGAAGAAGACAGCTGACCACAGGCTGGGCAGCCCTGGGGATGAAGCGAGTTCGGCTGACGCTCAGTCTTGGGGGTCCAGCATGCAGAACTCTGAGGGAAAGTCTGTGGCTGAGAGCACCCAGTCTGGCATTTGTTACAGCAGCGAACTCATACCCCAGGGTAGCAGCTCTCTCAGCCCTATGGAGAGCGAGCAGGAAGTAGAAGAGGAAGATGTACCCACACCGCCTCAGAAAACATGTTGCTTTAACAGCTGCAACTGCCTAAAGTACCTGAAATAAGAGTTCTGTATGGGGAAATAGGTGGCGTGGTTTTCTTTGATCTGCGAGTGAGTGTGCAAAAGTAAAAATCACAACAGAGTCAGACACCCTCTCTGCCACCGCCCCATCCAAGTGAGCACAGCCCTGGGAGCCGTGCGACGTCAAGGGTTTCTAAAGCTTCTCTCTGTCCTCTTGTCATATCTTGTCTCACCTAAGTTAAGCCTCACCTGCCAGAGGCTGAGAAGCCCATGGGCCGGCCAGGGTGCTGAAGCCAGCGCTGGAGCCAGCAGGGCTGGGCCCCCACCAGGGCACCAGGCGCTCCAACCACATCCCCAAGCCCAGGGGAGACCAGCACTGCTCGGCTGAGTCCAGCCCAAATCACTGGCCCACAGAGTCAAAGGAAATAAAACAGTGGTAGGGTGAGTTGTTACATAGCCACAGATAAATAAATGACACCGGGTTAAAAACAATTTCTGCTCCGAGGCCAAGTGTACTGAGGCCAAGCTTGGGAACTCCCAGAGCCACCTGCAAACCTCCTTGCTGAGCCAGACAAACTTAGAAGACTGGTTAACTGTGCACCTGCCCCCCCAGGGGCTGGATGACCTCAGGGGCGTAACTGGGGCTCCTGCATCTGCTCAGCCGGTGCGTTGTGCTGAGCCAGGTCTGACAAACAGCAGGTGTTGCTCAGACATTCAGTCCATTAGTGAAATGCCCTGGGACTTCTCCAGGGACCCAGCATCCCCTGCTCCGATGACTGCAGCAGTCTCTGCTTGCACCCCCACACCAGGCTGTGCCCTCAAACCCAGCTTGCATCCTGGGGAGAAAACTTTATGAATCTCTAATTAGCTTCTCAGACCCTTCCCAGTGAAAGCCTCCCTTTTAGGAATGATTTATGAAACCCTGCAAACCTCAGCCCTGTGCATCACACCTTGAGCTCTCTCTCTCCCTCTCTAGGGCATTTTCTTCTGTTCCTTCCACAGAGCACACTCTCTGGGTTTTCACATATGTGATGCCCTCTGGCCGGAACTCACCTCCACCCAGCTCCCAGGCCCTGCCAACACTACTTAGCCTTCAGTGAATTCGTTAGCCCACTTTGCCTAGAGTGAGCCATGACATGAAGTTGGGGACTTCGCTGGTGTCTGGGCAGTGACTGGTGATTTGGCTGCTGGTGGGAAAGCACAGGATTGGAGGGCTAGTGATGAGGAGAATCTGAGAAGAGGTAGTTGGATGGCCTTTTCAAAGGGGGCACAGACTCTGAAGATATTTCTAGCCCCCATGGAATTTCAGCAAATGGCCATCATGGCAGAGGCTCTGGATAATCAGAGGGAGCCCTGTCTCACCAGAGGTCACCCTGTGGTCTCTTTGTGCAGTGTCTGCTCGACACACTCTGTGCTGTGCAGTGTGATCCCGCGGGCCGAACAGGGATGAATGTGGGCTCAGCGGTATCGGCCCTTCTCACCAAGGCCGAGCTCAGTGCCAGCCTTGCATCTCCAAGCAACCGCTGGCAGAAACACCCCAGATACGACACGTCACCACTGCTCAGATTTGTCCGGCCAGTCGGGACCAGTTTGATTCCCCTGGGTGCTCTCTGTCATTGAGGGGGCAGTGGTGTGTACTCATCCACATAACCAGGATGTAGGGCCACAGAATTCAAAGGGAGACTGGTAAGAGCAGCCCCTCTATTACACCAAATAACTGGCTGCTGTAACGAATGACTGTAAACTTGGTGACGAAGAACAACAGAAATTTACTCCAGAGGCCAGAAAGCTAACATCAGCTACTTTGGACCCAAACCAAGGTGTCACAGGGCTGCCCTCCTTCAGAGCACGTGGCTAGATGCCATTCCGTGGCTCCCAGCTTTGGGTGGCTGCTGGCGTTCTTTTGCTGTGGCCAAATTGCTCCAATCTCTGCTTCTGCCTTCACATTCTGTCCACTCGCCTGTGTGTGTGAGGTCTCCCTTGGATACTCTCAAAAAGAAACTTGTAATGGGATCTGGGGCACACTGGATAATCCAGGATAATGTCCACATGTCAAGATCATTAGCTTAATTACATCTACAAAGATCCTTTGCCCTTATGAGGTAACAACAGATTCCAGGGATTAGGACCTGGATTAGCTTTGGGTGCATATTATACAGCCTACTACACATTCAAAAACGGTTGCTTCTGGGGCCCTCATTGGGGGCGCAGCACGTTAAAGCACAGCACTAGAAGCTAAAGCCACTGCAGCATGAGTTCTATCCCCCTCCCTGGAGGTGACCCACATGGCACGGCAGACCTCTCCTGACCCGCCCGCTGCTCCCCTCAGCAGTGTACTTCATCAGTCAGCCTGTTTGCTCCCCGCTCTGTCTCTGGTGAATCCTCTCACCACCCCTGCACCTCTGGCCTGTACCCTAGTTCTGTATGTATAAATAAATAAATAAATCTCAAAAAGAAACTTGTAATTGGATCTGGGGCACACTGGATAATCCAGGATAATGTCCACATGTCAAGATCATTAGCTTAATTACATCTACAAAGATCCGTTGCCCTTATGAAGTAACAACAGATTCCAGGGATTAGAGTTCTTTTTTTTTTTTAAGATTTTATTTTTATTTTTGCATAGAAGAGCTGAGTAGAAGAGGTGCAAGGGGTGAGGGGATTCACCAGAGAGAGAGCCAGGAGCAGAACAGGCAGATCTACCGAAATACACTGCTGAGGGGAACAGCGGCGAGACAGGAAAGGTCTGCCATACCATGTGGGTCAACTCCCTTGGTGACAGCCTGAGGCTTACCCCTAGGCACACGGAGGCCCACCCAGTGGATTCTTTAGGTCCCTCTTAATAACTGCCATGTACAATAACAGTGAGCCAAAAACTATGGCACCCAAAACCACGCATGATCACTGAGGATTCAGAACATTCAGGGATGATTATTTGGGTCATTCCACCATGTAAAATACCATAACCAGCTGAGTGACAACTGAGAGCAGAGACTTAGAATGGCAGTGGAAGAAAGATAGATGATAGACAGGCAGACAGATCACTAACTATGGCAAGTTACCAGAAAAAGTCTACTGCAGCTATACGTATTTTATTCCTTGCTTGTGTGATGTTAGGTAATTTACTTTCTCCTCCCTCCTTCTTTCCCCATTATTTTACATAAAGATTGTAAGTGATTGCCAGCTTAGCAATTGCCAGTTTAGTGTTGCAGGTGGGATGGTGACTAAATTAGCTGGGTAATTAACATCACCCAAATATGGATTCAGTGAATAGCTTCTGGAGAGGGATTCCACTGATGGAAGGTGGGACGGGAAGAGTCAGTTTCTTCACTCGTATGCAGAACAGCTTCATCTCATTAGGTGGAAGCTACTGTTCCTGTCAGGAGGCTCAAGTGTTTGCGGATCGATATGTGTGGATACCCTCTGTCCAAAGAGCTGGACTGCTCAGCTATCAGCCTATTTTAGTTCCAAGTACAGAATCCATCCAGGCCCTCTCCGAAACAGCAGGTCGGGGCTCTGCAGGCCACATTACTTTGACTAGCTGAGAAAGGCTGGAAGGCCGCAGAGGAGCTGACTTCTTTTGTTTACTAACCTGTTAGCAACCGCCTGCTGCCAACAGCTGATCCCCAGCTTTGCTGCTGCCTCACAGACAAGCTTCCCTGTATCCCTGAAAAGGTACGAGAGCACCCCAGCTTCAGACCTCTGAATCCCAGCACCACAGGGCTCCCCCTGTAAACTGTTTCCCACCACCCTTGCTTGCCCCCCTCCTCCCTCTTAACTTCCGAGTCCTCAGGATATTTATTCTCATCTACTGGTTTTCTTAAGTTTTTTTCCCTTATCCAGTTGCCTGCTATGTAAATCGCTCTGACTTACTTTGCTGCATCTTAGTCTCTCAAATTCCCTTCATTTTGTGAAGGCAGCTGCATTTCATCCTTTCGCTGACCAGATGAAACTCTGGAGTGTGACCATTCCACATCTTCTTGATCTAGTCATCCATCCGTGACCACCCAGGCTGCCTCCGCGTCCTAGCTCCGTGGGAATGCTTCTGTGAACCATTCGGAACCTACAGGTTCTGTGTTGATGGTTTATATTCTTTTCAGATGTGCCCAAGAGTGGGCTTGCCAGGCCATACAGTATTTTAATTTTTAGTTTTTAAAGGTAAATTCAGGTGCTTTTCATAATGGTGACACCAGTTTACATTCCCACCGACAGCAGAACAGGGTTATTTTTTCTCCCCAAAAGACTTAGTTCTGCTAACCCTACCCGCTTCCCTACATTCCTGTGGCCTGAGGACTCACTGTTTCCGGAGTAATGTCCTCTGGGTTATGTCAGTGTTGCCTTTTGGTCTCCCAGCCCACCAGTGTAAGCCACTTCTGTAGTGAATTCTGTGTTGAAAGCCTAGTGTGTACCTTCTGTCTTTCTGACTTGTTCTGACTAATACAAACTACCCGGAAAGTGGACCTCTTTTTCCCTGGGGTGCGAAGCCAGGCGACAGTCAACTCGGCAGTGTCAGGGTCATCATGAAAGACTGAGCTGCCTGTGAGGGAGGTGAGACAGAAGGCAGGTTCCTGACACATCCAAGCACATAGATCTAGGGGTATCCGAAGCTGAACCTGGAAAAGTCCAAGTTCCCTGGACTTTGTGTTTTCTGGGCCAATAAGTTTTGGTTTTTGCCTAAGTCCTAGAGGATTGAGTTTTATTGTTTACAATCAGAGTCTGAATAATCAACTCTCTTTTCCACCAGGTACCCACCCCATAGCCACAGGACAGCCAAGACCAGCCACCTCCTACTGAAAACTTTAATGAAACCAATAAGTTAATAAGTTAACAAAGTGAGGTACTTGCATATCTGAGAACTGGGTCGGTGGGGAACCTCTATTGTTGAAGGAGGGGGGCGTTCTTCCCAAGTCTCCTTTGGTCATAAGGTAATCCCGTGCTCCTGCCCCTCTCCACAGCTCTGTCTCTGGGGGCTTGGGGGGTGGCTCTCTGGGGACAGTGCAGTGCAGGTGAAGTGAGCCAGGCCAGGCTCCATCCAGGGCTTGATGGTCACATGCAGAGGGCGAATTAGGGCAGATGCAGGGCACCATCGGCTGAGCAACATCCAGGCCCAGCCCTGGCGCTGGTGCATGCAGGACCCCAGTCATGAGTTGCAGGCAGCTGGGCCTGAGCCCCTCATTTGCTGGCACCCCGCAGAGGGTCCCAGCTGTTCATTATCCATCACCCTCCTGCCATCTGCATTGGCTTTGTGGAAGAGGGATAAAGGGGTAGGTTTATCAAAGATGTATTCAAGGCTCAGAGTAGATGGGGCTTACACCACTGTGGGGGCCACCCACTGAAGTTAAAAGTGGGGTATGGAAGGAAGGAGGGGCAACAGTGATGTGAGTGCCAGGTGCATAGTTGGTGCCCTACAGATGGTAGCTGCTAGATGCATTATTCTCTCTGGGAGTCAAAGTGACTAAGAAGGGGCAAGCCTGTGTAGAAGCCAGTCTCATAATCACCCTGGAGAAGAGCCTGGGGTCTTTCAAGTGCACTCCAGATCCCAGAGACCCAGGCTGCGTGCGAATGCCAAGGAGGCCACCTGCACAGGCTCCCAGACCAGTAAAGAGCAAATCTTCTGGTAAAACTCCAGTGTGGCTCTGGTGTAGAGACCTGTGGCCACTTCAGAGCTACCTGGATGGAGTGGAGGGCTCCTGGTAGTGGACAGTGCCCTGAAGGCCAGTCCACTGGCACTCAGTACAGAGGTCCCGAATAATCTGCTCGGTTCTATGCTCCTGTCTCCCAGTGTGACTGTGCATGTCACTGTGAATGTGGGTGAGACCTTCGGCGTGTCTCCAGAAACTAAAGGGGCATGTTTGTGTGACTGTGGGAGCATTGTCTGTGAGCGGTTTATGAGTACAGAAACCTGGGCTGTTAATGCAGTCAGGAGAGCCAAAGAAGGGAGTGGACAGCCAGTAGGAAGAGGGACCCCTGAGAGGGGATATGGGCAAATGGGAAGGAAGGCCCAGGCACTGCCCTTGGGAGGCAAGGGAGAAATAGGCCCCATGCTGGGTGGGGAGGGGGTGATAAGCCAAATAATAGGGATGGGGGTTGTGGCCAAGCAGCCTGAGACCAGCTACAGCTGGAGGCCCATCTCCCAATGGGGGAGGGGCAGAGGGACCCCACGGGGGTCCCCAATGTTGCATATTTAATATAGTTTGCATATATGGTGCCCACCTGCCTTGTGGCAGGGTTCTGTGCTTTGTGAGTACCAGTAGGGGCACCTTGGGCCCGCCCCCAAGTGGGGCAGGGACTTGGCAGGAGGGCTTCCCTGCTGTCTGAAGGGTGGGCCAGAGACCTCACCTTGCATAGCTGGAAGCTGGGTTAGGGCCCAGGGCCCCGGGTTCCCCACTCCCACTCCACGGGCTGTGCTCCTGCCAGCTGCTCGGCCATATCGGGCCTCGATGGAACGGGCAGGGCACGGGGCCCCAGAGGCTTCGGGCAGCTGCTGCTGCTGCCCTCCATGCGGCCTGACATCACGCCCAGGTCGGCAGGTCGTTGCCTTCTCGCCCACCCAGGCAGCTCAATACTGCGTGTGGCCTCTCTCCCCTCGAGGGAGCGAGTTCAAGTAAGTCTGGAGACCTCGGAGGGCGGGTCCGGGTGCCAGGCCGAGGGGCTGGCCCAGTGCTGTCTGGTGGCTCCTGAGAAGCCCCTCAGTCCATGTTGGTGCTGACCGAGCGGGAGATGCTGAGTGTCTGTGCCGACACGGAGATGTCCTCGTGGTCCACTGGGCTGTGGTAGTCGGAGGTGATGTCGGGGTCGAAGAGCGGCACTTGCACAGTGCCCAGGCTGGCCGAGGTGCCGGAGCGCAGGCAGCGTGAGTAGAAGCCCAGCAGCAGGTCCAGCTTGTGCTCAATGGACTGGACCTGAGGGCGGGGTGCGGCTAGAGGCGGGGCTAGGG